ACSGAGTAACAGTGATAAGTAGTTTACTGATTAACAGAGTCAGAGCTTGGGTGTGTTCAGTTTACTTTACTGTTTCCTGTATTTACCTTTTACAGTAAGTTCATGTCGAACCCCTTCAGTGATTTTTACTATTTGTTCTCTCAATTTAGTAAACTATGCACACAGGTTTGGTGTTCATTTTATTTTATTTTTTTATTATTTAGTGATGATTCTTAAAATATTTGCTAATTTCAGAGTATGACTTGTTTTGATTAAAGCGAGGCAGCGATATATACCGTTAACTCTTCGTCAAGCTGACAGATGCCATTTGTAGTTTTACTGGATGGTAATGAACATGGAAAATATAATTTATCCAACTTTTCAATGCTAAACCCAGACCATGATTTATTGCATGCAAATAAACAAAATAATTTTTGACAAAAAAAACTGTGTGCACAGAATAACTAAATTGAGAGAATGGGGTTTTAATGTATGCACGGTCAAATAAGCTTCAAACCTTCCATCTGCTTAACCTTTGAGGAGGCTTCCTGGACTTATTTGAAGTTCTGGAGGATTTGTGGTTTGAAACATCATAAAAATAATAGCTGAAGAAGACACAGTGTCTCTGATTCTTCATTACGTTAAGAAGTAAAAGCAGGCCCCAGTTTGTGGAAGCTGCTATGCTGGATTTTTGGAGCAAGAGCCTGCACAGCTGTGATGTGTGCGGGGCTGTAATCACTTTCTATCCCTTACCCCAACCATCAGCGCATGACATTTAGCACTTTCACCTATCTATAATTAATTTAGATAGAAATTAAAACCAAACGTAAGATAACATGAATAACTAAACAGTAAGTCGAACATAAGGCAACATCTGGGAAAACTGAGGTCTGTTTGTTGTCCTTTTCCCCTCATTACTGGCTACTACAGCCAGCCTGCAGGGGGCGCCGTTTCGTCCCATTTCCATCTTCACCGTGTAGTTTTACTTTTAACTACTGAAAATCAATGGCGCAACTTTCTGAACCGAAGTTCTAATTTGATCTCAAGTTATAATTATTTTTTACAATACTCCAGGTAAACAAAATTAAACGAGGGATGGCGAATCCTGGGAAATAATTATTTAAAAATCTCAGCACTCACCCTTTTTGCTTTAAAACCCAAGTCATACGTTCAGAAGCGTTAGGTTTAATAAGATTCACATGTGGGCGTTTTAACTGCAAACAGACAAGCAAAATAAACATACCACGTTGGAGAATATGTCCCGTTGTACTGCAGAGGTCTTTGGTTTGCTGTGCCCAGCGCATGGTTTGTGCGCCTTGAGAAACCCGGAAGTAGGCATGAAGACAACAGAGGAGGTTCATGTGGAGGGAGCACTGGTCACGTGACTTGATTTACTGTGGAACTGGTGGCCATTAAGACATCGAGCAAGTGTCTGGRTTTAGCAAAAAAATAATAATGAATAATAAGTGCTGATTATGTAAAAAAAAAAAAGAGAGAGAGAGAGAAACTATTAATAACAATATAGCAAAATTATTAATATGTAGATATAAGCTATCTAATAAAAATGAGAAAGTGACAGAAAGTTGTGTGTGAAATGTATATAACAGGTAAATTATAATACATTATTCTTAGCTGAAGTCATAATTATTCAGCAAGCTTAAAAGTCTAGCAGATCTAGTTTAGATTATAAATGGGTGATTGTAGAATCTCATCCTTGGGGGCTTATTTCCTTCAGATTTTCTAAATCTAGCTGTCAGTTAAATAGATTCACATACAAAGTTAAATAGTTTTATCCATTTAAAACAGGTAATAACTATATACTAAATTTAACACAGAATCTCAGAAGTCAACATCATACCATACATCTAATTAAGGGACACTTAGTCGTGTTAAACAGCTGTGGGTTTAGGCCGTGCTAAGGGTGTCAGTGGGTATTTTTTTAATTGACTCAAAACTATGCATTTCCTGCCATTTGAAGAGCATTTTACTAAATTCATAGGAATCATGAAACAACCTACAGTGAAAACTAGTCTTTAACCTGAACTTTTTTTTTTTTTACATGTTGAACATTGTGAGTTAAGGATGTTTAGCTACTGTAAACAGCAAAGTAGACATGTCATCTTCTGCGCATGTGGGTCTCTGTTGTGGAAAGTTCACAATAAAGTCTGATGAAGGTCGTATTTAAAATCTAATGTGAATGTCGTCCATGCAAAAATAAAATAAAAGGATTTTTACAAAAATCGGAAGCAAGCATTAAGGCCTGCAGTGTGAACGTAGCATAATAATTCAGTTTCAGTTCAGTTTATTTATAAAGCACTAAGTCACAACAACGGTTGTCTCAGGGCACTGTACACACACACACACACACACACACACACACACACAC